TGCTCAAGGGGGCGCAGTCAGGCCAGTGAACAGAAAGCAGGGAGACAGTCATTCAGTCAGTCAGTCAGGCAGTCAGCCAGTCAGCCAGTGAATGGGAGGAGAGGCTCATCCGAAATGCAGTCAACGTGACTTTGTTTACTTGCGTAGTACGTCGAAGCCGCATCTCGTATTTATGTGCACGAACCGCACTGCAGAGAACAAATGCACGTAATTCTGCTTACTTCGTAACATTGCAACAGTGCACGGTGCCCACCGACGGATTTTTTAGGATTTCTTTTTTTTTTCCATCTGTGGTTGCGGTTGTCTGATGGTCAGACAGACAGTCTGACAGACAGACATGACGACCTCTGGCCTTAATCAGAATCGGCAGAGCAAAACTAAGGCGCCATTTTCAATTGTAGTCGCCAGGACGTTCGTTGTCTCCTAGTGACCAAAAAAGTGTCCTGCTTGGTATTTTTGCTTTGGCTTTGCTTTGCTTTCACTCTGCGCCTGCATATTGCATTTATTTACATAGGCCGGACTGACTGCCTGCCTGGTTGGCTGGTTGGCTAGCTGACTGCCTGGCTGACTTTTGATTTAAAGCTCTTAGGCCCTAACTCAATTCCCTTTCGACTATGTAGCTCTCATTCCACCAGGTGTGGCAACGTGTATGTTTGTGTGTGTGTGGCAGTGCAAAGGCGTGCATTGCTCCTTTATATCTATTTGCACATGCATTTACGTGCTCTGCCCCCTTTGTGCTGAGCAAATAGGCACTGCGCTTGCAGCTGTCAGACTCCAACATAATCCGTGACCACCATCTCCAGCTTTATGTGACCTTAGTTCAAGTTAAAGCTATGTGGGTTGCGGTAAAACGGCCAGAGGGGATTAAAATATACAGCCTTAAACCTTAAAGTTGGAAGCTGTTTTACATATGATAAGGAGGATAATACGCAAGAAGTTATTTACAGAAAGAGAATACTCAAAAGGCGTCTTCCATTGAATCTTCCTACTAGATTCCTTCTGTAACACTTTGTAATCACAAAAAACAATATACCCTTATGAAGTATATGAATGCTTAATCCTGTAACAATTTATTCTATTCCTACAATATCAGACTTAATATAAATTTGAACAAGTTAGAAGGCTCTAGTCGAGACTGCTCGACTAGGAGATACCCTCAACCTTCATATCTGATATTCTAATCAGTCTACACTTCTTTTCGACACACATACATACATACGCACGTAGTAGAACGCGCTCTGCTAACTGCGCAGTAAGCAGCGACTACGCTTGGGCTGCGCTGCAGTGTGGGCAACAATCTTAATGAAACTTTCAGAGCGTAATCATATGGTTAAAATGCAAAGCACAAGTCTCTAGTACTTGAAATGCGTTTTTTACAAATTAGGGCGAAGGGGGTGTGGCATCCAAAGTCAACTGTATATACACAGTAAATCTGAAGTCTCTAGGTATACCAGAGTTCAAAATAGGCTTGAAAAACAAAATCAATTTTTCGATTATTCTCGATAAAACAGTTATCGGATGCGTTATCGAAAAAACAAGATTGACGTGTGCTGCGTATGGTACACACGAGTATCATGCCAAAGTTCAGCTCTCTAGCTCTTATAACTTCTGAGATCGACGCACTCATCCGGACGGACGGACAGACGGACTGAGCTACATCGCCTCAGCTCCTCCGGCTGATCAAGAATATATATACTTTATGGGGTCTGCCACGCCTCCTTCTGCACGTTTTATACTTTTTCACCAAACCATTTTAACCGGATTTCCCATTTTCAATGGATTCAAGGTATAAAAATGCAAATAATATTTTAATAAACCATGTCAAACCAACAACCTCTGAGATCTAAAGTTCAACAAAAGATTGAAGATTTTATAGAAAGATTCTCTGAATATTCAAGTTCCTAAACATATGAAGAATTTTACTCTAGTTCCTGTTCCAGTTCCTGAAAAATGTATTCTTTTTATATATATTATATAATAAACTTCAATTGCACCGAGCACCGTGCGGCCAATAAGTATAGTTACTGCCCGTTTAAATCAATTTAACACCTCGTCTAGTGGAATATAGATTTCTGAAATTAGTATTGAGGCATCAATTCTTGGACGCTTGACATTCACTGATTGCCCCCATGATTCAAGGAATATAAAAAGCCTTGTCAACAATTCTAACCACATTTTTGACTGGCAGACCGACAGGGAGATGGAACACTATTCTAAAGATTGCAAAGTTCTCTGCTTTATCACTTTTTTTCGCTTTATCACTTTTTTTCGGCACTCCAATTTCAAACTGCAATCAGAAGTGCAACCATGGAAAATGTTTTCACACTCGGCTATGTGGCACTGGAGAAAATATTTTGCTGGTAAACATGATGACCCCAAAACAAACAAGAAGAAGAAAGAGCAGATTATGATGGTGATGATGAAGAAGAGAATACGAACAGGGGAAGAAAGGCACTCGTGCGCGCCAAAGAAGACGTCATAATAATGGCCGAGCTGCAGGAGGCTCGTAATCAGAGCCTAGAAATATGCAATGCGAAAAATCAACACAGCAAAAGGAGACGGCAAAAGGACGACAATGGCGAGTCGACCTCAATTACCCCCGTTTTGCAATGCGAAAAGGGCTTGTAGCTAAAAATTAGTACATATTTACAGGCGCTGGCATGAAAATTTGTCACCTAGCCAGAGCCAGAGCCAGAGCCAGAGTCGGAGTCAGAGTCGGAATGAATGCCACTGAGCAAACATGTGTGTATGTGTGTGTGTGAAATTGAGCCTACAGATATGCAACGAGTGCAGGTTGTTGCTATTGTAATCGACACTTGGGCGGCGCCCATCGAGGCAAACAGTTGCCGCAGCTCAACGCTGCGACTGCGCGCTCTTCGGGGTGGCTGATTCCTCCAGCAGGGCTCCAGTGCATTTGTAGGGGCAACAGTGCAGCCTGGTTTTCGGCTGCCTGGAAATATGCAAGCGTCTGATTGGCCAGCTCGAGTCGTACTCATAAAGCTTGCAGCAAGCCAGCTGATTGGCCGAGCTCGGCTTAAGGGCAACTTCCAGTGCGCATGCGGCGGGAGAGAGAGAGCGAGAGCGAGAGAGCCTTAGGGACTTGCTCAGCAAATAGTAAGAGCTGCTCTGTACTACACTGGAGTTTATTTATCCCTTTTTACGCCGTCTGGCTGGCTGGCTGCTTGTCTCTGTCCCTATATATATGTATATATGTAGATATTTGTATATGTGTGCATGCGTATGTTTCAGCGAGCGATTAAAGTTAAGCGCGTGGTGAAAAACTGTTGGGGAATCCTGCTCAGCTTAAGTGGTGGTGGCTTTGTTTATATTTTCACAATCGTATGTATTTCGATACTAATTGCATTGGAAAGCAATTGGATTATTGTTTGCCTGGGTCTGATTTAAGGATAATCTACACTACCAATTCAATAAAATGCTGGTACAGTAAATTAATTTTTACAGATCTGAAATGGGACTTCGAACTACAATTATTTGTGATTGTATTTTTCTTCATTATTATTTTTTATTTTTATTTGTAATTCGATTTACCTAGCCTTTATTCCCATAGATGTGCTTCAACCCCCAAAAGTTCTCTTAGCTTTTGCCGTCTCGCTCTCTCTAAATATTTACTTTTTAAGAGATACTACGCAAAAGTCTACACAAGCCGAATTTCAATTCGGCGCATCGCACATTAGCTCAACAGCTTTTATACACAGCGAGAAACTACTGCACCTTGACCAAAATACATCTATATTGGGGAAGCAAAAGCTCTTATAGATAGTAATCTATCCAAGGCGTTAAGTGTACTTACATTTAATTTAAAAACTTAGTATTGTATATTGAAAAAATATGTATTTGTGTTTTTCCATTCGATAGAAATATTTTTCAGTGCACTCTTTGCGGCAAAATCAGAGCTTTTAAGCGAAATGCTGATAGGTTACTGTGAGCGTGTAGAGTTGCTTTGGGGATGTTTGCACTTGTTGCCGTTACTTGTATTGCAGAGGAGAGCTTAAGTTGCGGCGAATTCGGCTGGCAACATGTTCGAGCTCGGCTCCTCGATGAGCTTGTCAACCGCTGAGGCAAAGCATGGCAAAAAGTCTTTAAAGCCGATAACGAATATTATGAAGATTGAATTCAAATAAACTTTCAAAATCTCAATTTTCAATTCAAGCTGAGTGATTATTGTAATTGAGTTTTGAATCACGGCGAATTGAGAAGCAGGGAAGCTGTTCCTCTCAGTCGGTACATGTTGCACGCTGTGTGGATGCAACACATCTTCATTATTGGTCCAGGCCACGTCGGCTGGCTGCAATCGTCGTTAGCTCGTCGTTATTTGCCGAGATTTGCACTTGGCCAAAAGCAGCAAGAACAAGCGTGCAGTTGTTGGCAACAAAAGCCGTTATCTGGCGACCCCTACGACTTCGCCGTCGTCCATTTGCCGGTTCGTTGAGGCGCGTCGTGTGCCGACATTTCCTTTTCGTCGTCCTGTCGGCCGTGTCGCCTCGTGTCCTCGTGCATTTGCTGGGTCTCGTGCTCGTTGCACATTCGCCACACTCGATGCCAAAGCAGCAGATTTTTTCGGAATGCGTTAAGGATCAGTTTTGCGCGAAATACGGTTACGAAAGGTTGCTGACGACAAAGAACCGGCGTCTGAGCAAACATTCCTCTGTCTTTCTTTGTGCTCCTGCCCTTTATGTGTGAGTGAGTGTGTGTCCGTGCAGTGGAGAACTTTAACGCGAGATTGTGCAAATGTCTGGCGACCTCATCGAAATGTAAATTAACGCCTCCGAGTAAACTGAGAACTGACCTAAGCCAAGGCTCTTCCTACTGTAACTGACCTAGGACAAGCCGAACACTTCTATGCCAGAGCCTGAAGCTCATGTAGAACTAACCTATAGAAAAAACTATTGCATATCTTTGGTACGAAAGGTTTTAAGAATCCTTTAATTTTAAGAGAAGAAAGTACATTGTATGAGACTCCTTTAGAGTCTTTGCAGCATCTGAAAAATACTAATTTTGAATAAGATAATACTACATAAATTAGATAAGCTAGTGCATACCCACATAAGAAATAGCTACATACATACATGACATACATATATAGATATTTCTATAAACATGTACATATATAACTATTCCTATAAGATATACTATCATTTGAGTCGCAATTAAATTTGTTTTAGGAAGAACCTAACCCATTCTGCTTTGTGAATTATTTCTTCCAATAAAGTCGAAATTTTTGAATCGCTCGCTTAACTAACTATGGTTGTGAAATATATAAGAGAAGTGGCAGTGCGAAGAAATTGAAAGATATTTGAACTTTACGTCTTGGCAAATAGACTAAGCTATATTTCTCTGTAAATTCTGAAGAGTCACATTCGCTTTCAAATCAGTGAATGTTAATACATTCAATTGTCTTTCGAGTATAAGAAAACAATCTCATATCAATACTCAATGCTATAAACTAATGGAATTTCGAATAAGATTCGTAGTGTTTGAATTAAGAAGTGTATTATCTAAGCGAAAGTGTAAATTACGAGTCTATTCAATATCGCGGAAGCTTCCTCAGTCGGAAAGTGTTTAAAGAAGTGAAAACATGTTATTTTGCATTCAATTTTAAAAATCGCATCAGATACTGCATATAGATTGCGCTAAAGGTAAGCATTACAAAGCTTTAATAAGTATTGTATTAATGTTATTTGAGCATAGTTCAAATAAGATCTAAGACTGATGTTAAATGCAGCCAGGTCTAACATATAAAATCTTTTTTAGGATTTAACTTTTGTTGGGACAGGTTTTACGAACAAGGTGCTGATCAGATATTATAGTTATATATCTTCTTCATTCTGTTTTTTTCTTTTTTTTAATGTTTAGTCTCTGAGAAAAATAAAAACAAAATAAAAGTTGTAATGAAAAGTATATGTACGATTAAGGAGTTTATTATACATATGTGCTTGGTTTTACTACTGGTTCAATTATGTAGTACTAAATTGATGTTCAGATTCTCCACATCATAGTAAAAAACTTTAAAAATAATCCCAAGGTTTCACTCTTGGATCATATTCAAATGAACTTCAACACTTTAAATAGAAACCAAGACGCGACTCTCGTAGATTTGGTGTGCTATTGCTATTATTGATTTGCTGTTCGTCTTTTGACACTTCAGTTTCAATTAAAATTTGACAGAATTGCCTTTGGCCTACAACGGAAATTCTGTCAGCAGATGAACCATCTGCCAAGCAAAACGTTAACATCAGCAATTCTGGAGCTGACTGCAGTTAGAGATTTTTGCACTGGCGCCCAAATCGCTCGCATGAGGGGATTTGCATGAATGGGCAAAGGGCTCAAGTGTGCTCAAGTTGGATTCGCACTAAATGACATGCATTTTCGATTGCCGCAAACTGCTGAGTCATTGAGTCAATTGATGGGCCTGCAGTCGTTGATTAAAGCTCATCTCTGGAATATCTTAGCCAATGCAGGCAATTCGAGGTGCAATTGCACTCGATATGCTTTCATTAAGCGAGCCCGCAAAGACAATGCCCCATGGCTGAATGCAACAAAGAAGCAGCAGAGCCAGCAGAGGCAGCACTGCCTGAGTACATAATCAAAACATTGCATTAAAAACCAACGGCTCGCAGAGAGACGAGAGAGAGTCCAGTTGATAAAGCAAACAAGTCCGACACAACAGAATGTTGACAAAAAGCGTAAAAATACGAACAGCTCAATACTGTACAAAATGAAAAATCCCACAGCCCAACACAACAAACAGAACAACAACAACAACAAAAACAACATCAACTACAACAAAATGATTGAAAAAAGATTCCCGCTTGCCCATACAAATAAATATGCAGTCAAAGGCAATCAAGCCATGTCGCTTCGCTCCTCAGTCTGGCCGCAGTTGTCGATATTTGATTTGAAAAACATTTCAAAAAATACAACAAAACGACGAAAATTGCAACGAAAATGAATTTGTTTTTTTCGTTTTGAAATTGTCGCAACATTGCCATAGGCAGCCTCGCAAATAAATAACGCCAGCAGAGGCCCAACAATTACCATTCGTATAGACATTTTGTGCCATTGAAGGGATACTTTGTTTTAATACCCTGCAACCTATGAAATTTCCCAAAGGGTAAGCTCATTTCTAAAGCAGTATTGTATAAGAAATTCAAATATTTGACTACTGAAATGAAGAGGGTTCAATTGTAAAGAAATCTGAAGTCCCTCAAAAAGATTTATATAATATTCTGCAGTTCTGTATCTTTATTTGTGTAGGGTATATGCAGTGGTATAATAGATTTATAAAACATACTGACTGCTCGTAAGTTGATATTTTTATTTGAGAGCAGCATTTAGTTTTATATTTATATATGGTTTGTTAGTTTTGTTAGTTTTTTAAATATAATCCAACTGATCCGATTCGAGAATTACTTACAAATTTTAACAATTGGAGGCTTAGATGGAATCCGATAAGAGCTGCTTCCTTTATTTTAAACTTATATTATTTATTTATTTATAAACAGTAAATTAGGATCGAATTAATGAAAACTAAGTGGTTTTACGTGCAGATATATTAAAAAGTTCCTTTCTAACTACTTTTGCAATGTATATCATCGAACAGTAATAGTTTTCTTTTTTTTTTTTATTTAAAATCATTTACATTTACAGTTTTAAATTTGAAGGTCACAAAATATTTATTTGTTTAGAAGTTAGAAATAATATAAAATTAAAACTAATTACTTGCTTTGTATGCCTTGGCAACAAACGCCTTCTTATAAAACAATAGTTCATAGAACAAAAAAAATAAAAATAAAACAATATATAAAATAAAAAATAAAAAATTATTATGATCGAAGTATAT